GAAGAACTGAACGAATTATGTATTTGAGCATGGACACCAAAACCAAACGACAATCGGTTATGTTCGTGATTCATTAGTCAGTACTGCCGCAAACATTGCGTGTTCACTCAGTTAGAGGTAGACATATCACTGAGAGGACATGGTTGTACGCTTTACCCTGTTAGTATTACATGATTTAACTCTTTTAAGTGAGTGGTTGGCGGGTGCTCTGGTGTGGTTTGCTTCTTCTTTCCTATCAAACATATTATATCACCCTTATCTCCCCTTCTTTTTTGTTTGTTTGCTATTGTCTCGTACCACCTCTAAATCTTCTGGCGCTCACACGACCTTATGCAGTTGCGAGCGCCGTAAAACCTCTATTAAAATTAAACTCTTTTAAGGACAAACCTAGCTCCTCCACTCGCAAATATCTGTCATTCTATTCAAGATAGATATGTCTTTTTTCATGAAAAACAAGGCTAATGAATAAGAATTAAGGTGATACTAGTAACCCAATGTTCCTCAAAATTGACGAGCACTAGATTCCAATGCGTCTTGACCCAAATTCAAACTTATTCTCTAATGGCATTGACTTTCAGTATAATTGAGTGGAATCAACTACATTTGTTCGACTTAAGTATTGCAAATTTACGTTTTTTTGTATCCCTTTAATCAAGATGTTCCACTAAAATCCATACAGAAATGTATTTTTTATTGGACATTAAATATGTTGAGCTTAAAAAACGCCCAGATATAAATAAAAATAGAATGTCAGTTTCTTCGATTTCGTTATTTTGACGAGAGCCTGGTTCTACCACGACCGCACACACACACACACACACACACACACACACACACACACACACACACACACTATTTCACAACGACCTATCTTTCCCAGGGTGTGACGTACCCTGCTTGTCACGGCATCTGGAGACACTGGGCCCCGCCCCTCGAGAGGTCTATGTTGGCGACCATCTCCTTCTGTGGTAAGTACAATATTATGAATACTCCCCACTCCCCCCTCACGGGGTGGTGATACTGACTGAAGTGTCTTTAGGCCATTCCCAAAGGGGTGGGGGGGGGGACATTAACGTCTCCAGTTCTTATGCACAGTAGGATTGTAATTGTTAATGGGATGATCCATTTATGTCATGCTCATAACTGTGCCTGAACTGCAACAGGGAACTGCTTCTTTTTCTTTCCTAATCCTTACTATCGTCATTTTTCCTCTACTTCTTTTGTATGTTTGTCACACTCTTGTGACCCGCCATTTCCGAGGTGCCTTTATAGTCAAAGCAGACTTTGTGTTGTTGAAGCTAGAGAGGGGAGCAGAGTAAGTCTGCTTATCTGTAAGGACTTCTCTTTTGACATCCACTCCTTGGCGCTCATATGACCTTATGCAGTTGCGAGCGCCGTAAAACCTCTATTAAAACTAACTAAACAAGATGAGTACTGGCGTGTGTGGTCTATAGTGCGGTCAAACATTCGTGGCGCAACGTATCCTCAAACATCTCTTTGATGGGTGAATCAAAGTTACCCATACTATTGTATAGGGTCATATGAGCACGCATGTGTAGATTTCAGGTACTTCGGTAGTTGCATGCAGAAGGCCTTTAAGCTCTACTCCCAAGGAGTGCTTGGCGTGAAGTCTTGTGGTTAGGCTACTAGACCTGTAATCGATCCGAAGTCGTGTCCTTAGGAAATGCACTTAACACGAATTTCCTGCTCAGCTTGGCCCTTTCGGAGATGGACGTAAAACTCGGAGGTCTAGCCTCTCAAATGGTCGCTTTTAAGGACAAGCGGGCTAACCCAGATTTCCGGGGTTTCCAGAAATCTTGACCAACACCAAAAGTGGGCACTGCCATACCTATAGGAGAAGTTTTGTTTCATTGGTGTGTAGATTTGTTGGTTATAGAAAAAATTCATCTTGTCTTTTAAAGACACTGAAAGAGGGGCAAAAACTTAACGTGCGACTTTTTCAACAGCGTTTTTCGGGATAGCCCACTTGTTTAAAAAGCGACCAAATAGCCTAGTAGGGCTCATAAAGGGCGTTAAGCCTATACCATATTATCACCCTCATTTTTTGTTCACCAAGTATCTACGAATGCCAGTTTAGACATTGTATCCGTTTCAGCTCGGGCTGCTCCTTACAAACAGCAGCGAAGCAGCCTGTCTCCTAGATTACCTAAATTGTGTCGATTTGGATGGAGTATGTGGGGGAGGGGGAGGAGCGTGACACAACTCACTGTCCGTTGTGTATCTAAGTCGTTGACAATTTATTCCAAAACCTTGTGATTATCTTTACAAACTTCGCTTTGCATGATTGGATGGCTTAGCTAGAGGCCTTTACTACTTTACTGTTTTCTTTAGAATGAAAAAATAAAAGAATTCTTTACCAGTGTTACTGTCATTTTCAAAAGTGCAGTATATGCATTGTTTCTTGGGGGTGGGGCGGGGGTTGTCATTTGTGTTTTTTGGGGGGAGGGGGGTCAATTTAGCGGGAGATCCCATATAACAGGAGGTTGTTATTAAGAAAACATGTACTTCTTTATGGGTTATAAGAAAATTATTATCAAAAGTGTATTTTTAAAAGTATTGACTTGGAATGTTTGAAAAGAGTTTATTTTCTTGGTAACAACTTTCCAGTTGGTTTTTTTAGCTGTCGTGTAGAATTTTTTAATAAATTGCATATTATACTGTACTTTAAAAAAAAAGATGGCAGTGAGGTTTTATCATGTCTCCCAATAGGTGGATATTTACAGTAAAGAAAATTGGCAAGAAATCAACATCCTTTACAAAACGAGACATTGTGTACAAAGTTACCCCGCCCTGCGACAACCGTTTCGAAAGATCTTGTTAGTTTGTAAGTGTTTAAGGGCTTAATCAGCTGCTTGCACTGTATGCTTCCCGGGAAGCTCAGAATGTATCTGGGCGTTCTATGGTCTTCTGGGGCAATAATAGAGTGTAAAGGAAATAGAGCTTGCTGTTGAGCGGGGGTATGCGCCATACAAATTCAAATGCTATTGACTATTATTATTATTATTATTATTATTATTATTATTATTATTATTATTATTATTATTATTATTATTATTATTATTAATATTTCTTAACTGGTTCTCTTTAGTAAACGTTGCCTTTGTCCAATTCAACAAATGGAAAGGGCCACTACTGCTCAGAACCTTCACCCTTTCCCTACTATTTAGAAGTTGAAAATAAGAGCCCCCCCACCCCCCCCACCCCACACACACACACTTACTCAGAAACAAAAACAAATTTATAATAAGCAAACACAATTAATAAAAGCCACCATAATATGCTTGATATACCCTACTAAACAAAAACATAAATAAATCGAAAGTTCATACAGAAGGCAAGGCCACTGGAAGCATACACACACAGAACGTAGAAAAAAAAATGAGTGCTCAGTGATAATCTAACTCAAAGACTGACAATTTACCTCGTCAAAATTATAACTTTTAGCTTTTCTCTTCCGTGCCACAATGTCCGTACTGGAAAAAAACAACATAATGACGAGAAGGTATTTCTTTGACGCTAATAAGACAAGTCTTTTTGTTTTGTTTTGTTTTGTTTTAGTAGGTGTTTACGACACTAGCAACACAATACGATGTAAGTGCTGAAGATTTGAAATGTTACAAAAGAGTAGCACACACAAAAAAAGATAGAACGGATAGGTATGATAATAACATAATAGTATTTGTTGAGAAAGAAAAAACAGACCGCACCAGAGCACCTGGCAACCACCGGCACCGGGCAACCACCCACATCCGTTATTCTTCCTGATGTTAGAAATATTTTTGTCGTAATAAAACAGGTAGTTTCTATTGGTTTTTTTTCTCTCCTTGTATATATTTTTGATCGATTCGTCTTTCTCTTTACCATAACTAAATAGCAATCACTGAAACAATGTGCAACAATGAAACAACTCAAGCAATAAAGAAAAAAACAAAATCATAGTATAATAAGACATTTTACTATGACCAGGAAGTCTGAAATGAGGAATATAAGTGGATGATGTATCCACTTTTCAAGTTGTTTACTTCTTCTCCCTTGTCGTTTCACGCTAATTTAGTTTAACATTGTCTGCCTATATATCTCTCTGTCCTTGAAGGTATCGCTCTTTCACTTCTTCTCCTCTAACTCATTTCACTCATCTACTAATTCACTCCCCCCCTCCCCCCCCTCCCCAAACTGCCTCCGGTATAAACACGTATAGATGAAACTACACCAATATAATAATCGTATAAAGGTAGAATGATAATAGCTTTTCCGCCTTGAACTGGTGAAGACCTTCAACATCCAACCAGGAAGACAAGTTGAAGGACGTGTTAGCTACAGCAGGCAGGTAACCAGCCATGTAAAGAGAGTTAACATGCAAGAAATAATAGAGGGCAAATTGTAATGATTTCAAACGCCACAACTCACCACGGATACCAGCACTCCAGAAAAGAGTGGTGTTATTATCTGCTTAAACACATGGTTAGTTGGTTAAGCCTTCTTATGGATCTGCGTGCAGCCTTCAAACGCTTTTCTTTCAGAGAAGAATGTATTTCCGCAACAGAACATTTTAATTTTTTAGTCTGTAGAGTTTGTGTTAACCTCAGGATTAAACAGTCTTGAATTTTAAGCTTTTCTGGCAGCTGCCTCTGAGATTTATAAACTCTTTCTCAAAGACTTTGCTGCCACATGTAATAGCTTTACGCTGGTATGGTTAAGCAAGGTGGAGGGTTCCAATTTATTAACACTAATGACGCAATCTTTAACAGAAGTTTCAGGGTATCTTTATACCTTTGTTTTCTTTATGAAAAGGGGCGAGGGGTACAAATGTTCAGCCTTCCACTTACCTCTTCTATGTAGAATATAACTTTGGGAATCCGTATGTTTGACAAGGAGACCAAGTCTATAGTAAAATCTAAGCTATATTTTCATCAGATTGCAGAAGACACTAAAGTCTTTTCTGCTCTTAAGAACATCAGTCTCTTGGAACTTATCCGTCAAGTGAAATCCAAGTATGCTATTCAGACAGTAAAGATGAAACCTGTTGAACAGAATAATAGAGTACTCAGCTTATACGTAAACTAAATTGTGATCGAGAACACTAGAAGACGGTCTTGTTGTCGTTTGGCGACAATTCAAGATGTGCCAACAGGTTTTCTAAAATAATAGCATAAAAGAAATCCAACCCGAGTCTGCATAAAAGGTAGCCACAGCCCAGATGTGATCAGAAGCGCGTAACTTGGCCTTAACTGCTCCAAAAAGATTAGAAAAGCAGTCTATGAATTTCCACAGTCGTTTTAGCAGAATTTGCGTCTTGAAATGGTGAGCACTTTTTAAAGCTTAAGGGTCACACGAAACAGACTTTTCACTAACACACAAATGAGATTTCCAGATACCCTACTAAGTCTCCAAGAGTCAAAACTAAACTGTTTCTCTCTTGAAACTACTTTGACCTAACCTGTGGCAAGTACTCTCTAAATACAATAAAAATTAGACCGGATCATAGTGTCTTTAAACGTACAACCCTCTGTGAGTCAGCAAGGAAACTGGTTTAAGGGGGGTTTTGTGATGTCGAAATATCTAGGACTGACGCTAAAAGGTCTTTGGTCGCACTTTCAGCCTTGGCCACTGTCCTCCCCTCCTGTAATCTTCCTCTAAACACTTTCTTTTTCTCCCTCCACCCCAGCCCCCCTCTATCTCTCCTCTTCTCTCTTTCTCTCCCGCCTCCCTCTCTTTCTCTCTCTCTCTCTCTCTCTCTCTCTCTCTCTCTCTCTCTCTCACTCTCTCTCTCTCTATCTTTCTCTCTCCATACGCCCCCACCTCTAGTCCCAAACCCCCCTTCTTTATCCCTCTTTTCTTTCTTATCCTTTACCCCGTCCTCTTGCTCCCATTCCTTCTCACTCTCAGTCAATCAAACAGCTCAGAGGTGTATTGGCGGGAATCAGAGTAAGCTCTCCAGATGCGGTCACTGGCCAC